GGCTCTCATAGGTCTCTGTGCTTCTCATAGGTCTATCATCAGCACAGAAGCTAAAGGAATCCTCTGAAGACATAAGTCAGGTAATGTCATTTCTCTGTTTAAAATTCCAAAGGCTCCCTTCTCATGCAGTGCAAAAGCCAAAGCCTTTCCAACCAGCAATTCCTCTACTTGGTATATATCCACAAGAAATACGAGCCATAACACGAGTAGATATATGTACACCAATGTTCATAGGAGCACTATTCACAATAGCAAAAAGATGGAGACAACCAAAGTGCCCATCAATGGAAGAATGGATAAACAAACTGTGGTACATACACACAATGGAATATATGCTACCTTGAAGAACAACAAGGAAGCCACCACATAACATTGATGAACCTTGAGGGCATTATGTTGAGTGAAATTAGTCAGTCACAAAAGGAGAAATACTGTATAGAATCATTATTGTAAAACATTAAAAAAAGAACCCACACTAAAAGGGGGAAAATTTATTTGCTGGTTACTGGGATGTATGGGGTGTGATGAGGGGAGGAAGAGGAAGGTGGAGCACAGGGTACGGAATGGACACAGGATAGTTTGGGTGCTGAGGAGTGGGGAATACATAAAGAAGGGGGAGGGGAATGGAAGAACAAGGCAGATGGGAGAACAGTTAGGCAGGTTTGCATTAGCTAAGTGGGGCAGAGGTAAATAATAATGTATGCACAACCTTGGAACAATAGGGCTCTGGGATTCAGGGATTGAGGCATGCTTTGAATGGGTAAAAGAGGGGAAATAATGTTAAAATGCTTGGCTGTCTTTTTGAATCCTGGTTTCCCTTGCCTACAATTATAAAATAGACACTTGAGGGGGAGAGGAAGGAATAGCCATAAACATCACTACAGAAATCTTGTAAGTCTGTCTTCTACCTATAACAGATTGGAATACCTAAAATGGGGCTACAATGTGCCCAATGAAGGAGGCTTCCTGTGGAGCCTTTGCATTACATAAGACCATAGGTGGAATCCTGAACTGCATTCAGAATCTTCTGAGGTGGGAAATTTCCACTTGAAAGGACAAGCAGACCAGACTGGAGTGGCTAGAAGAACAGAAGATACTTCTTGAAAGAAACACCAGCAGGAAAAATAAAAAACAATAACGGCAGTCTGATTGACTAGTATAAGAACAATCAAGTTGCTGGCCCAGGAGACATCAAGGCAAGTGGTCAGGTCCCCTCAGGGCAAACCCCCTTCCAAGACTAAGACTCATGGGGAATACACGAGCAGGCATGTGGTCTTATTGGTGACCATATTGGTCACCGATAAGGGGAAGTGGGGGAAAACAGCAATGAAGTTGTAAGCAAAGTCTGACCATGTTCAACAGACTCCTGTCAACCCGGGTTGAGACCTGGTTGGCCAGCAGTATGGCAAGGCCTGGGGACTCCTGGGCCCAGAGACAGGGACATGGCTACAGAGGACTAGAACAGAGAGTGAAGCATCCAGCTGCTATGAAGTGAGGGGAAATGTACAAGAACACCCATACTTGCAGATAGTACCCACTTGACCTGGCTTCAATGGTTGGATGATCAGAACTTGACTAGAAGAAGAAAGAAGAGGGAAAAAAGAGTAATCTGCTACAATTTGATGAACTTGACCTATACTTATGGATGTAGTAGCTCAAAAGAGGGAACAAATCTTTACAGCGAGGATCATTCCCACCCCACCCCCTCAGTACACAGGGTTGACAGGGATGGGCAACTTAGACATTGGCTACCCAAAATGGGGGGCTACAAAGGCAAGAAGTGACTGGCTTCAAGCTTTCAAGAGGGAACCTAGTTCCAGAGGGTGTGGGGGAAGGTAGAATCTCCACTGAGTGGTTTCCAATCTGTCTGGATGGGGCTGATGAAAGGAGATGGAGATAAGACTCTTGTGGTACAACAGTGAATAATTGCTATAAGGACTCACTGTGAAGGGTTGGAAATGTAAAGGTTTTGTAACAAAAGGAGGGGAGTGGTTGACTTTCCAGTCCCGGAGTGGAGGTTCCTGGGACTATCAAGGGAGAAGAGCAGAGTGTGGGACCCTACCTAGAGAAGCAGTGATGCCAGAGATGGAGGCAGAGATGATGATGTGGAGAGATGGAGCGGCTGGGGACTTAGGGAGGAAGAGGGGCTGTGTGCTGACGGCCAGGGGGCAGGCTTGCAGGGTGTTCCCTTTGATTGTTTGATGATACATGGAAAGGATCGTAATCATGGCGATGAAACTATATACGATACGATGAACATAAATCTAATGTTCTCCCATAATTCACAATAAAAACAAACAAACAGAAAAGCCAAAGCCTTAATCTATGTCCTGATCTATGCCCTGCTGCTCTCTGGTCTCAATCCCCTCACTCATTCATCCACATGCATACTTGCCTTCTTGACATTCTTTTTAAAAAAAAATTTTTAATTATTTTTGGTGGCACTATATACAAGCACTGGTGCTTTGGATCAGCACTGGACTGCAAACCACAAGGTCAGCAGTTCAAACCTACCAGCTGCTCCTTGGAAACCCAATATAGGGTTGCAATTAGTCAGAATGACTTGGCACTTAACAATAACAAATTTACAAACAAACATAGATCTATTCACAATTTCTACATGAACAGTTCAATAACGCTGGTTACAAACGTCACATTGTACCACCATTCTATTGTGACCATATTATTACAACAGCATTCATTTAGGCTCTCTGTCTATTCAACTTCTCATCTGTGCTCTAGATGAACTCTTCTTAGTTGACACTCATACAGGTAATTCTGTATAAAAGCCTTATGCTCAAGGCAGCCATTCTTTATTAATTGGGCTAAAATTTTGTTGGTGGTGGATTTGTGAGCAACTTGGTATTCAATTTTAGTGAACCTACAACTTTGGAGTCCTGGTGTGGCACTGCAGGGTAATGCACTGGACCACAAGGTTTGAACCACAAAGTCAACAGTTCAAACCCACCAGCTGCTCCTTGGAAATCCTATACAGGGTGGCTCTGAGTTGGAACCGACTTGACAGCACTTAAGAACAACATAACTTTGCGAGAGGAATTTCAGCTATAGAACAATACTCACGTATGAAAGTAATCTGGGTCCATGGAAGCTGAATATCCAGGATTTGGTGGCCACATTCATATTGTATTTGTACCACTGGTTTCATCTACAGAGTTGGTGCACTCCACCCCATGAGGGAAACACTGCAACTCAATGAAAACCAGCAGCCTGATGGCCAGGGCAACCACCTGTCATGACCAACATTACCAGCTAGAATTCTTCTTCCTGTGGCCCCACTTAGCCCCAGACAGCCCAGTTCTGTCATCAGTTCCTCAAGAATAAACTTTTGCCCCTGTCTGCTAGTCCTTCCTTCCCTCTATTTCTCCAATAACTTCTAACAACACCTTAGAATCCCACTCCCACCATCAGATCTTAATGAAGGGTGTACACTCAGCAATTAGACACAGGAGAGAACTGATTAGGGTTCCTGTCTGTACATGAGTGTCTAACCCAGCATTCCACGCAGCCATCCAAGCATTAACCTCATTCCCCATACACACTCAATTAGGCAGATTTACTTCTCATTATCCAATAAGCAATCATGAGTGCTAATAAAAACCTTTGCTACCCCCAACAATGCAATTAACACTATTAGCTGTCACTCAGAGGCTCTTCTACACTTTGGTGCCAACAGCAGGCTGCTCATTCATCCATGTAGTCACACATTCATGCACGTATACTCTTTTCCATTTAGCAAAGGTTAAGTGCACACCTACTATGTGTCATCCACGCAAGGACTTGGGACTAGAGAGATGAGTTAGACATAGTCATTGCTTTAGAAGAACTCATGACAGGTAAATGGTATATGGAGGGTGATGAGGTACACAACGTAAGCATGGTCCGAGCATCACTGACACCCAGAGGAGGAAGTGGTCAGAGAACAACTGCGCTGTGTCAGTCCAAATTCCACTTCTGCTATTTTTAACTCTGAGTCTCAAATAATTACTTGTTGTTGTTGTTATTAGCTGCCATGGAGCTGGACCCCAACTTACGGTGCCATCCTACAGAACAGAACAAAACAGAAAACAAAATGCTGCTCAGTCCTGAGCCTTCTCCATGAATGACTGAACATCAGACTGTTGACATTTGCAGGTTTTCACTGTGTGATTTTTGGAAGTAGATCACCAGTCATTTCTTCCTAACCCAACATCACAGCCACCCACAATCCTCTGTGGACAGACAGATGGTGGCTGGAATTTGGACCTGGGTTTCCTTCATAAAGGTGAGAAATCTACTTGTGGACCACCACTGATCCCACTGAGAGCACACTCCACAAGACAGGTGGGAGAATTAAATGAAATATGTTCAGTGCCATGCATAGAGTATGTGCTCAGTTAAGAGTGGCTGTTAGAATTTGCTGCCTTTAAACTTTGCCAGGACTTTTCCATACATTCCTTTTCTCCTTTCACCTAACAAGATAGAGGGAATCCTACATTCAACATGGTTGAATGTGAGTCAGAAAAATCCACTTTCTTCTGTGGTGGAAAATGGACAAATAGGACAGCCAATTTCTGAAGACAGGCACAGTCTTGGCCAAAACAATGCACAGTGGATAAGACCTCAACACATCTCAATTCTCCCCCCAGAAGTAGGCCTACTTCCCGGGCTCCTCCACCTGTTAAGACTGCATACCTCTCCCTTCCTAATGGATTCATCCTTCATAGTCTCTGAGACAAAGATACTAGCACTCTTTGTTCTGGACCAGGCTACTCAGATCACAGATAAGAAGTGAGGGTGGACTAGAAACACACAAACTCGAACAAACATCTCCACACTACGGACAAAGACACATACATGCCTCTGGGGCCTGCTGGGGCTCTGCCTGCTCTGAAATAGCCTGAAAATGACAATTAAAAATTTGCCTTTGGTTGGGGTGAGTAGGAGCTGGAGGAATGGGAATGGGGACTGGTATGGGAACGGCAGGACTGCCAGGCACTTACTGGTGTTGTGGTCAATGAAGTAATCTCCAACCTGTGGGTCATACGCCTCTTCCCATCCCAGCGGTAGCTCATCACTAATGCAGTCCGCAAACGTCAGTGGTTTGGTGTACCTGACAAGGAAGAGGAGAGACAGACTCCATCAGCCCACAGTCCCCAAACCCCTGAGACTTGTCCATTCCCATCACCAGTGCTGTAACTCCAGCTCCACTGTCCCCATTGCCCCTAGTAAGGTGGACACACAGCAACAGCAGGCTTAGATCACCCCACGTGAAGACAGGGGATTTGAATTTCAGTCCCAACTTTGCTACAAACTTGACAATGATTGAGCAAATCCCTTCCTTTCTCTGGGCCTCTTTTCTGCATCTCTAAGTGAGGGGTTACAGGAAACGGGGCCAAGGTCCATTCTTCCTGTTGACTCAGACTCCAGCCCTTCCTGGCTCTCTCACAACTCGTCCACTCTACCCCAATCTTCCTCCTGGCTCTGTCCCCTGTCATACCCATGTTCCTTTTGGAATGCTGGCTAACTAACATCTAGAAGAACAGATGTCCCAGCCTGTGAGTTTGGCCAATAAGCAATATTTATTTGCCTCCTGAGCTGACTCTTAAATGTTTGTGCCCACTGCTGGTCTCTCCTAAACAATCTAGGCCAAACTGGCCTCTTAGCAATAACCACCTATTGGGCCCCAATCTAGAGAGGAGTGACATGGTGCTCATCACCCAGCTTTGGTGGCTAAATCAGTCAATCAAACCAACCAGTGAGTAAATCCTCTAAGTAAGCTAACAAAGGCTTGTCAAAGCTGGGAATATGTATCCCAAACCACAGGTTTTAGTTTGAACATGTGGAATACAACAGAAACAAAGATAACTAGAATGAGTCTAGAATACTTAACCATAAACTTCCTCATAAGGAAACTAACCTCTCTTTTACACTGTATAATCTCTTTCTCTAAGGAAATTCTGAAAGAGAAACGCTGGCGGCTAGGACCTAGTGTGTCTCAAGTATCAACTGCATATACAGGGTCTGGTGGCTGGCTGGCTGGCTGTGTGTTGTAAAGTCGGTTCTGACTCACAGGGAGAATTTCAGATGCTGTAAAGGTTTACAGGTGCAGAAAGCCTGATCGTTTCTGCCTCAGAGAGCCTGGTGGACTTGAACTGCGGACCCTGCAGTTAAGTAGCTCAACTCAGTACACTACCAGGGCTCCTTACAGAGTCTGGTAGGCTGTTAAAATATCTACTGACTGAGTGGATGGATAATCCAAAAACTTAGATTAGTCAGTATTTACTGCTTCATTGAAGGAGACGACTAATTTCATGGATGGACTAAATACTTGAAAAAAAAAGGGGGGGGGGAACTAAGTAAATGTCACTAGCAAATTACTTAACCACTGTTATTGTTGTTATTAAGTGCCATCAAGTCGGTTCCGACCCATAGTGACCCTGTACAGGGTTTCCGAGGGTGTAAATCTTTACGGGAGTAGAAAGCCTCATCTTTCTCCCGTGGAGTGGCTGGTAGTTTCGAACTGCTGACCTTAAGGTTCGCAGCCCGATTTGTAACCACTATGCTACCAGAGCTCCTTTATGAACCTCAATATTTTCATCTATAAAATGGGCATAATAATAACTCTCCAGGTGGCTATCTAAGTTAAACAAGAGCATGCTTATAAAAACATTTAACACAGATCCTGGTGTGAAGCACTAACAAAGAGTTGTTATGTGCCGTGGAGTCGGTTCCAACTCACAGCGACCCTGTACAGGGTTTCCGAGGCTGTAAGTCTTTATGGGAGCAGAAAGCCTCATCTTTCTCCCGTGGAACAGCTAAGCTAGTAGTTTCGAACTGCTGACCCTGAGATTATCAGCCCGATTCGTAACCACAATTATTATATCCACTTCCCAGAAGGGGATGCTGAGGCTAAGAAACACTCAATATATCTGGAAAGTGACAAGCTGGAAGATTACACAAACCATTGCTTGGTGCTTGGAGAAAAAGGAGGAGGAAATACGGAAGAAAAAGGATGATGAGAACTGTCTTCATACCAGCTCAGAATGCTTTTTGCTCAACAGTATCTGCAACAGTCTGAGTGAATTCTGCCAAACGTATCTTTAGCAAACTCATTCTCAGCCCCACCACTACCACATCCCACCCAGACTTCAGAAACAAAATGTCACTTCCTTTAGGACACCCTCTTGCTTGTGGAGAATAGAGACCAGGGACCAAGAGTAAAATCTTGCCCAACATAATTTTGTGCAGCAAATCTTTGAAAGAATCTCTGAAGAAAAACTGTACTCAGGCACCCTACTCCATAGTGAGTGAACTGTATTGCTGATGATTGACAAGTTTATGAGAGAAGACGCACCCTCAAACCCCCAGAAATTTGAGCTCCCTGCCTGCATTCTGCCTGGAGAAACGCCACTGACCAGTTTGGATGCAGAGACACCAGTCTCATCTATACAAATCCCCTAATCTGCACACGGATCCTTCCATTTCAAAATTCCTTCCTGGGGATTAATTCAATAATTTCCAGCAATGGCACATCCAATCCTTTGCATAGTACCATTGATGCTCAATAAATATTTGTGAAATGGGTTACACAATAATAATGAAGAAGTTGTTGTTGTTGTTGTTGTCAGGTGCCATCGAGTCGGAACCGACTCATAGCGACCCCATGCACAGCAGAACGAAACAATGTTCGATCCTGGGCCAA